ACCCAGGAGAGCTGCAGCCCCAGGACACCTGAACACAGGTGTGTGTTTTGTGGTGTTTTCCTGTCTGGGGCTGCAGTGCTAGTGATGACCACCAGGAGGCGGCAGCCTCTCCTGTCAGTGGTGCCCTCTGGGCTTTGCTGGAGCAGCTGGACCAGGGGACAGTCACCCCAAGGTCATTCTGGCAGTCCCCCTGTCTCAGAGTTGCATCTCCTAATGTTAACATCCAAGCCCACAATCCTAGCCGGCCTGAGTGGGAAGTGAATCAGATCCTCTCATTTATTCATTCAGCAACACACCCCAAGCTCTCACCCTGGGCCAGGTCTGTGTTAGCTCCTGGGTAGGAGCTTAAAATGACCCACGTGGTCCCTTCCCCAAGAGCTCATAGTGGAGGGGAGAGGCACAAAAGCATGAAGACAAATACGTGGGAAAGAAAAGAGCAAGTTCCATAGAGAAAATAAAGCAGGATGCAGCAAGAGAGAACTGGGACCCCTGGGTGGGGGTCCAGAGGCCTCAATGAGGTGACATTTATATGTTACCAGAATGACAGGTGAGACCAGCTCTGCAAGAGTCTGGGGACACTGTGGCAGGGAGAATGCACAACTGCTGCAGAGATTCGGAGGCAGACGTTTGTACAGAGAGGGGGTTGGAAAGTGGCCAGTGTGGCTGCAGTGAGTTGAAGCGGAGAGGAGAGAGGAAGGAAGAGGGCAGGTCCAGGTCCCAGGACCTGGTGGACTGGAGGAGCTATCTCCTGCTCTTGACAACATCACGCCAAAACTTAGCAGCTCACGAAAACAAACTGATGATCTCGCAGTCTCTGTGGACCAGGAATATGGACACAGCTCAGCTGGTGACTCTGCACCAAGTTCTCTCACAAGGCTAGGGCTGTGATCTCAACTGAGGCTCTACTGGGGAGGAACCGCTACCTGCTCACTCTGAGTTATGGGCAGGACTCCAACTTGTGAGCTGTCGGACTGGGGGCCTCCGTTCCTCTCTGTTGATCAGAGTCCTCGGGTCATTCTCACGTGGGCCTCATAGGGCAGGTCATATATCACAGCTGCTTCTTGGGGTGGGGGAGAGAGGTGACAGACAGAGAGAGAGAAAGAGATGACAGAGACAGAGTGAGCCTAAGACAGTCCTAAGAGATACTGCCTCAAATGAGCTCATATGAGTTGAAATTGACTCAGTAGTACCTAACAACGACAACATTCTTGAGAAGCAAGTCCCTGAGTCCAGCCCACACTAGGGAAGGGGGTCACAGAGGATGTGGAGACCAGAAGGTGGGATCATTGGGGGCCATCGTGCAGGCTGCCAACCCCCTAGTCCGAGATGAGACACTGGGTCAGATTCTACATAATGGAAGTTATTGGAGGGTTTTAAGCCAGACAGACGGTGGAAATATCTGATGTTCATTTAATTCCAAACCCTCCTGGTGCAGACAAGGAAACGAGGCCACGAAGGGAAGTGACTTCCCAAGCTGACGCCACCAGAACCCAGCCCTGTTTGGAGGTGTACTCCATGCTGCTTCCTACCCCTGCTTGAAATTCTCCCATCTCTGAGTTTGTGCATTCACTTCATGTGACACCAAGCTATGGATTTATAGGTGTTATCTCACATATACCTGCCGACGTCCCTAGGAAGAAGACTCCACAATGACCCCCACTGTGTGGTGGGGAGACTGAGGAGGCTGTGAGAAGCACAAAGATTTGTCCAGGGTGCTAACTGGTTAAGAGGGATGAGCAGTGTCTGAACCCAGCTCTGTCTGCTCAAAGCTGGTGCCCTGGCTGCACCCAGGCCTTCCCTGGGTTCTGTGAGGGTGGTGTTGGTGTCACTGTGCATAGTTATGGAGGTGGCATGAGGAGATATGAGCATTCAGCAGCCCAGAAGGACCTTTGGGAGATGTCACCTGAGGTTGGTCACAGGTCAAGGGACTCAGGATATGACCTCACTTCCTTGGTGATGGAGTGCATAGAACTTGGAACCCTGGTAACCAGGCCCCCACATCCTAGAGACAGCCCCGTACCCAGCTCACTTGAGTGGAGACACTCGAGCTAGGAACTTGTTTTCTTGTTGTCATTCGTCTTCCCTCGTATCAAAACTTCAGAAATCCTGGAGTTGGACACTTTCACGAAGGCTGAGACGTGTTTTCAGTCTCCGTACCAGAAGGATATGCCCATTTACTGAAAAGAAACTTAAGATAACACAGGGTGGCCCAGAATGGCAATCCAGACCACTCCACCACTGTGACCCCACCTGGGCAGCCCCACACCCCTGCCACAGGTCATACCAGCCCCCAGGACATGCCAGCACTTGTCCTCATGGGGTCCCTGCTAACAGGTGCAGGGAGGCAATGAGGACAGAACCAAGGAGACAGAAAGTTGTTGGACAATGCAGGATCCAAATGGGAGGGAAGTGGGTGTCAGTCAGGGAAGGAGGGGCCACGTGATTTGGGGAGATTTGGGAGGGGAAAGGTGAGGAGGAGGATGAAAATGGTGCTGCTGCTGCTTCATGACTAGCACTCATTGAGGGCCCCTCAGCTCCATCCCCACGGCCTCTCACCATCACTGGGTTCATGGGCTTGGGAATGACCTGGATTAGGGTGGTAGGTGGGCCTAGTCCATCAGGCCTGGTGCCTTGGAGACCAGGGGCTGGGGTGGCAAAGGTGGAGACTGCTTCACCTCCGTGATCACATAGGATGCTGGGCCCTAAGTCTCTGCCCAGGGGCCCCATTTCACACCAGGGCATTAGGGAGGGAAGGTCAGGGGGTCACAGGCTGAGTCGGCACTCTCACCTGGGCCGTCTCTGAGCCCTAGCTGGCCCTGAGTGGGGCAGGCACCATGCAGTCCTAGCAGCTGGCCTTGCCTAGGCCACTGCTGACCCCGTGCCAGTCCAGCTCCTCCCAGATCCTGTGGCAGCACTCAGAGGGTGCTATTTCTATCCCTGGTCATTGAACTTGGACAAGGATGGATTGTGTAACCCCAAGCCGATCTACCCAGCATGTGGTGTAGACAGGGAACTGGGAGTTCCTCTGAGGCCCAGGGGGCACAAGGGCCTGAAGGGGCAGAGGGGGAAGGAGGAGTCTAAGTGGAGCCATTGATGCCTCCTGGGTCACTGCCAGGCTCTGTCTCTGCAGAATCCCCCGCAGAAGATCCACATGAAGAACAGCATCATCTACTCCATCCACACCAAGAAAGCGGCCCCAAAGGGCTGGCACAGGCTCTGGGTGAGTGTGTAGGGGACCCAACCAGAGCCCCCAGATAACTAGAGGTGGCCTGGGGCTGAGACTGTGCCCTGGAGACTCCCAGCTCGCTCCCAGGACTTTCCCTCTCAAGGAGGGAAAGGAATCGACCAAAGGAATTGGCTCCCACTCTTCCCACCTCCTCACACTGCACTCCCCAGCTTGGCCAGGTGCAGAGTCACTTTTCCTATATTTGTAGGAATATCAGAAATGAGTTTTCGAGACTGTTTTCACTTCACATCAGCCCAGGCGTCTTTTTCCATGTTGCTCCTGTTTCAGAGTTTAACTCTATACCCCAGGGCTCTGGGTAGCGGTCAGCTCCACTGTCCTTCCCCACCTTCTTCCAGCCTCACACATCCTCATGCTGAGCAGGCTTCTTTTACCCTAAAGCGTAGGGTCTCACGCTATGATACATCTTTATCTACAACCTGTTAACTTGGCAAACTCGTCTCTGTGACCCCTCCAGGTCAGGAGCAGTGTCCTGACTTGGCTGCAGAACATTCCAGAAGGGAGGCTGGTTCCCACAGTGATTGAGCCTCTCACTGCTGCTGGCCCTGGACTGATTCCTTCTGCTGCCCTTTCAACAGGCTGCAGGAACACTTAGGTGTGTCCTCATGCACTGACCCACCTAACCTACAGTGTTCTGCTGGAGGCACTCGTGTCCCACCTCCTACCACAGGTCACAGAGGTCTGAGACCCCGTCCCTCCTGGTGGTTTATGAGACTGCCTCTGATGGCATGTCCCTCCTCTGTCCCACCCTAGTGTGTCTGTGGCTCAAACCAGGACCTGTGTGAGACCTGCGTGGTGCGGACTTTCAAGGCAGGCTCACTGGAGCAGCTGGTGGAGCACCTGGTGCCCGCGTTCCTGGAGGGTGACCTCTCCTTCATCCACGTCTTCCTGGGAACATACAGAACCTTCACCACGATCCAACAGGTCCTGTACCTGTTGTTACACAGGTAAGTGCCCTATTCTCCACAGCCCAGTAGGGACTCTAACCCCTGCCAGTTGTGTCTGGGGAATGTCACTTCATCACTTTGAGCCTCAGTTTGCTCCTCCGAGAAGTGGGGCGGTAAAGGTCCAAACTGCTAGAATTACTGTCAGGACCACATGGGACAAGCCGTGGAAAGTGTGTACTTAGAGTGCAGCTTTGCGGAAAGGCTACTGGAGGGGCTGGGATATTCACATTTCTTGTTTTCCTGTCCTCCAAGAAGAAGCTGTCTGCCTCACTTCTCACTGACTGTGTGCCCTTGAGCAAATCTCTTTCCCATTTGTAAAGAGGATTGAGATTCCATTTAGTGCATCCTTGTCCTTGGTGTAGGCAGAACAGGAAACCCTGGGGGCTGGCAGAGGGGCCCCAGGCCAGCTCAGATATCAGGGAAGGTGCCGGTTGGGTTCATTCATTCAACAATTATCTGTGAAGCCCCTACTGTTGGAGACACGGTTCTAGGCATTTAGCACTGTTCAATGAACAAAGCAGAAAGGAAGCCCTGCACGCCTGGGCCTCAGTTCTAGTCGGGGAGTCAGACAGGAACACTAGGCATCATAAGCAGGTAGTATCCACAGTGCATTAGATGTGACGTCCTCATGTCTTCTCTAGGTATGGATTCAACTGCCCCCCTTCTGCTAGGGACGGAGAACCCCAGGAGGAGCTGAAAGAGTGAGTGGACTTTTGGTGAAGGAGGGGCTCCCGTCTCCACAGAAGGGTGGGAGAGTGTAGGGGGCCTGTGTCTGGATTTAGGGTAGGTAGACACTGGGTCCCACACATCTAGATCCCCTGGAGGAATGAGTTCAGGTGCTCTCCCTGCTGGAGGAAAGCGGTCACGCAGAGCTTTGTTGCAGCCTTGACATCCTGGGGAGCAGAGGGGAGGCTGGGGGCTCAGAGCGGCCCCTGAGGGAATCCTCCCCCTCCTCCCCACTTTCCCCTTCAATCTCTGGTTTTCCCCTCCCCTATCAGGGGCTAGACCAGCAGGTCGGGGTAGAAACCTGCTCCCAAATCCTGCACCACCGTTGTGGGTACTCAGATGTATGTGGGGCCCCTGCCCCTCGGGAGAACAGTGACCATGGGAGAAGAGAGCCTCACGTGCGTGCAGAGAACCAGGCAGTATGCTGATGCACAAGCTCCAGGTGGAGGGGCCCCAGGGCCTGTGCAGGCTGGGGCAGGGACAGACTCCACGTGTCCTCAGCATCGATATTCCTGGAGCACTACTGTGTGCCAGGCTGTGAGGTGAACACATAGACACAACTCTCCCTGCCCTCAGGGGTTTACTGTCCATTGAGGATGGGGTCAGGAGACAGAAAGGGACGTACGTCAGGCTTCCTGAGGACGGAGAGTTGGTCCAACTACTGATGGGGAGCTCTCTGGGACCGAACCTCTGTGCTAGCCCCTTGCTTATTGACCAGGCCTGCCACTGCCAAGATAGCCAGAGGGCATAGTGCAGCGTCTAGCTGACCTTTGGGACGACAGGGTCAGGCCGAGGGACCCGGCCCCTTGCAGGGGTGCCCTGGGAGTGCAGTGTGGTGGGAAAGGCCAAGCCTCTGACCCTGCTGTTCACCACCCATCCCCAGCGCCATCTCTTTCATCCTAAACACATGACTCGATGAATATTTGGAGGATTTCGACCAACCCCCGTACTTCCCCTGCCTGAAGCTCCTGGTGGAGTACCTGCAGGCGAATCTGCTGGGCTCAAAGCTGGAGCATTGTGCCCACCTTCTCTGTGCACAGCTGGGTCACCTGGAGCCCACTGAGGCAGAGCCAGAGGGTGAGGAGGACTGGGCATGCCTGCATGTGAGCTTGGGAGGGGGACAAGGCGTGAGTCCCACAGGGAGGACCCCCGGAAGCTGGGGTTGGGCCAGGGCTCAGAGTAACCTCAGCTCCTCCTCTGGTGGACTGCAGTCTGGGAAGACTTCCTGGGGTGAAAAACTTGGGCTTGGGCTTCTCTTCATGGCAGCAGGATGTTTTCCATTGTTGGGAAGACACGAGGAAAGGCAGTCATGTTGGTGATCATTTCTCCTCTTGCACATCCAACCTCAGGGCTGGCACCAGATCTAAAAGCAGCTGACGATCTAGGGCCACCTCCAGGTGACCCTGCTCCAGCACCAATGCTGGATCTCGATAGAGGATCAACTCTTCCATCACCAGCACCAACACCAGACGGAGAGCCTGCTGCAGGGCTGGATTCTCTTTCTAAGCCACCTCTAGAACCGTCTCCTGTACCACCTGGTGAGGTAGATCTGCTCCTGAACCAACATCGGAGCGAGATTGAACACCAGGCCCTCCATCCACAGCTTCATCACCGGCACCAAATGGAGACCCCACTAGAGGGATGGATTCCTATCATGGATCACATCCAGAAGGGGCTCCTTGACCACATCCAGATGTCAATCCTCTTTCTGAATTAACACTGGAGCCCCATGGAGAACCAGCTATTCCATCACTGGTTCCAGCACTGTCACTGAAAGAAGAGCCTGCTGGAGGGCTGGATTCTGAACATGGTCCACCTCTAGAACCAGCTCCCAGGCCACCACTTGCCCCACCTCTCCCACACCAGCTCCGCATCGTCAGTGAGGGAGTGTCGGCTCCAGAACTGGACCCTTTCTACTCTCATTTGAGTCATTATTGCTGTGGTTTATTTGTAGTATTTATAGTTTATACTATTTAAACTTATTGTTTATAGTTTATACTATTTTAGCTGGTAGATTTCTCATTTAATAAAGTTTTGTTTTAACTGTTTAAATGTGTGTAATATAGTGGCTTTATGTACGTCCTAGTAGCGTAGTGCCTAAGAACTCAGCTGCTAACCAAAAGGTCAGAAGTTCAAATCTACCAGCTGTTCCTTGGAAACCCTATGGGGCAGTTCTGCTCTGTCCTATAGGGTCCCTATGAGTTGAATCAAGTGGATGGCACTTAACAACAACAACAAATGTACTTTCACAATCCTGTTCAATCATCACCAGTATCTATCTACTTCAGGACATTGTCATCACCCTGTTCCCATTAAGCAGTCCTCCCCATGCTCTGTCACCCTGTCACATGACAATCACTGATTGGTTTTCTGTGTCTATGGGTTTACCTGCTCTGGATTTCTTGTTTAAATGGAAATATGTGGCCTTTTGTACCTACTTCTTTCTCTTAGCTTCATGTGTTGGAGGCTCATCCACGTTGTGACACTTGTCAGTTTCTAATTCCTTTTAAGACTCGATGGTATCTCATTGTGTAGATGGACCACACTTTGTTCATCCAGTCATCTGTTGAGAGACATTGGGTTGTATCCACCTTTTGACTGATGGAGGGAGTAGTGCTGCCGTGAGAATTTGTGGACAGGTGTTTGTGTGAGTGCCTGCCTACAGGATAAATCCCAGGGATGGGGAAAGATGAGGTGGGAAGGGTGAGGACACAGTCCCGGTGTGGGGAGTGAGAGTTTGGAGGGATCAAGAGGCAGACAAGCTATGGAGGCTGAGGATCTGGGAGAGGCCTCGAGAAGGCCCAGATGTGGGTAACAAGAGTCATTAGGGGACCGGAAGCAGCACTAGTGTGGTGACTCAGGAGATGGAAGGGATCAGACCCAGTAGGGGAAGTGAGAAGGTGAGGGGGGGCAGGACACCAGCATGAGGTGTGGTAGTGATGAGGTGGGAGGGGTCAGTGAGTGCACACTTGTGACAGTGCGGAAGCCACTGAGGTGTCGGGAGTAAGGCGGAAAGTGAGTCAGTAGAAGCCACTTGTATAGGCAGTATGTGGGAGGGTCCAGTGCAAGACAAAATGTGCCTGTTGAAGAGGTGTGAGGGGTCAGGAGGCAGCGCAGGGATGTTGAGAAGGTGGAGGGGTCAACAGACAGCAAAGGTCTGCAGAGAAAGGAGGTGGAAAGTGTCAGGAGAAGGCACAGGGGTGGGAAGTGAAGAGGTGGGCGGGGTCAGGAACATCCTATGTATGGGAGGTTAAGAAATGGGAGGGGCAGGTGAAAGCCAAGGTGTGGCCAATGAGAAGGTGGGAGGAGTCAGGAAGCAACCCAGCTTGAACTTGGAAAGTGAGAAGGTGGGAAGGTTTCGCTACGCGGCGGTGAGAAGGTGGCCAGTGGCCGGGGCCAGGAGAAGGCCTAGGGTAGGGTAATTGGGAGTCTTGAGGGGCTGTAGAATGCCCTATGTTAGGAATTGAGGAAGGAGGGGTGACGTGAGAAGGTGGGCTGGGAGAGGAGAAGGCACAGTTGTGAAGAGTAAGCATGTGGAAGGGGCCAGAATATCACCCAGATGTGGGTAATGAGGGGAGGGATGGCTTAGGAAGCAGCCCAGTTTTGGTAAACGAGGATGTGGGAGGGTTCGGAAGCCCAGGTATGTAAAGAGAGAAAGTCTGAAGGATCAAGATGCCTCACAAGAAACAATATTTGAAGAAATAATGGCCAGAAACTTCCCAAATTTGGTGAAAACATACATTTATAGATTCAAGAAGCTCAACAAACCAGAAGCAGAATACAAAGCACGCATACATGACTACACACACCCTTACGCCTAGCACAGAGTCAAACTGATGACTCCAAAGTTTAAAAAATAAACTCTTTCAAAAAAATTTTACTTAATTTTTATTGTACTTTACATGAAGGTTTAGAGAACAAATAGTTTCTCATTAAACAGTTAATACACATATTGTTTTATGACAATAGTTATCAACCCCACGGCATGTCAACAGTGTCCCTTCTCAAGCTTGGGTTCCCTATTACCAGCTTTCCTGTCCACTCCTGCCTTCTAGTCCTTGTCGCTAGACTGTTTTGCCCCATTAGTCTCATTTTGTTTCATGTGGCTGTCTAATCTTTGGGTGAAGGGTGAACCTCGGGAGTGACTTCATTACTGAGCTGAAAGTGTTTCCGAGGGTCATACTCGTGGGGTTTCTCCAGTCTCTGTCAGGCCAGTAAATTTGGTCTTCTTTTGTGAGTTAGAATTTTGTTCTACTTTTTTCTCCAGCTCTGTCCGGGACCCCCTGTTGTGATCCCTGTCAGAGCAGTCAGTGGTGATAGCCGGGCACCATCTAGTTGTTCTGGACTCAGTCTCGTGGAGGCCGTGGTACATGTGGCCCGTTAGTCCCTTGGACTAATCTTTCCCTTGCACCTTGTTTTCTTCATTCTCCCTTGCTCCTGAAGGGGTGAGACCATTGGAGTATCTTAGATGGCTGCTCACAGGCTTAAAAAAAACCTCTTAATAGCAGTCAGAGGAAAAAGAACACATTACATACAGGGGAAGACTAGTGCAAACACTGTTACTTCTCATCAGAAGCAATCGAGAACAGAAGACAGTGGGATGACATCTTTAAAGAGCTGAAAGAAATAACTGTCAACTCAGAGTTCTTTACCTACTGAAAACGTCCTTCACGAATGAAGGCAACATAAAGGCATTTTAAAAATAAAGAGATTTTCAGAGAAGGAAAACTAAGAGAATTTTCTGGCAGCAAACCTACACTACAAGAAAAGCTGAAGAGTTCTTCAGGCTGAAGGAGTATGATACTAGATTAAAATTTGGATCTGCAGGAAGGAATGAAGAGCAACAGAAATGAGAAATATCTGGTAAATATAAAAGGACAATTTTTACCCCTGATTTCTAACGACCTATATGAATGTTTCAAGCAAAAATTATGACACTGTAGTGTGGCGTTTATAATGTATGTAGATGTAATACCTATGACAACTATGGCCTTTAGGATGGGGGGCAGTAAAGGAATCTATGTAGTTACAAGTTTCTTCCATTTTACATGATCAAACCCACTGCCATCCAGTCAATTCTGACTCATAAGGACCCTGTAGGGGCTCCCATTATACATGAAGTGGTGCAATATGAACTCTACGTTGTTGTTGTTTTAGGTGCCATCGAGTCAGTTCCGACCCACAGCGACCTTATGAACAAAAGAACGAAACACTGCCGGGTCCTGCACCACCCTCACAATCGTTGCTGTGTTTGACCCCGTTGTTGCAGCCACTGTGTCAATCCATCTCGTTGAGGGTCTTCCTCTTTTTCACTGACCCTCTATTCTACCAAGCATGATGTCCTTCTCCAGGGACTGATCCCTTCTGATAGCATGTCCAAAGTACATAAGATGAAGTCTCACTATCCTCGCTTCCAAGGCGCACTCTGGCTGTACTTCCATGACAGATTTGTTCATTCTTCTGGAGGTTCATGGTAGACTCAATATTCTTTGCCAACATCATAATTTCAAGATATCAAATCTTGAGTCTTCCTTATTCATTGTCCAGCTTTGAGGCAGTCGAAAATATCGTGGCTTGGGTTAGGCGCACCTTTGTCCTCAGAGTGACATCTTTGTTTTTTAATACTTTAAAAAGGTTCTTTGCAGCAGATTTGCCCAGGGCAATGCGTCGTTTCGTTGCTTGACCGCTCCTTCCATGGGCGTTGATTGTGCATCCAAGTAAAATGAAATCCTTGACAGCGTCAATATTTTCTATGTTTTTCAGGATGTTGATTGCTGGTCTAGTTGTGAGGATTTGTGTTTTCTCTCTGTTGAGGTGTAATCCATACTGAAGTCTGTAGTCTTTGATCTTCATCAGTAAGTGCTTCAAGTCCTCTTCACTTTCACTAAGCAAGGATGTGTCATCTGCATATCACAGGTTGTTAATGAGTCTTCCACCAATCTTGATGCCACTTTCTTCTTCATATGGCCCAGTTTCTCGGATTATTTACTCACCATACAGATTGAATAAGCATAGTGAAAGGATACAATCCCGATGCCCACCTTTCCTGACTTTATACCATGCAGTATCCCCTTGTTCTGTTTGAACAACAGCCTCTTAGCCTATGTACAGGTTCTCCACGAGCACAATGAAGAGTTCTGAAAGTCCCATTCTTCATTATGTTATCCATAATTACTTATGATCCACACTATCAAATGCCTTTGCATCGTCAATAAAACACAAGTAAACATCTTTCTGGTATTCTCTGCTTTTAGCCAAGATCCATCTGACATCAGCAGTGATATCCCTGACTCCATGCCCTGTTCTGAATCCAGCTTGAATTTCTGGTGGTTCCCTCTCGATGTACTGCTACGACTGCTTTTGAATTATCTTCAGCAAAATTTTACTTGTGTGTGATATTAATGATATTGTTTGATTATTCCCACCTTCTGTTGTATCACTTTTCTTTGGAATGGGCACAAATATGGATCTATCTCTACCAACCCATTGACCAGGCAGCTATCTTCCAAATTTCTTGACATAGACGAATGTGCATCTCCAGAGCTGCATCCGTTTGTTGTAACATCTCAGTTGGCTTTCTGTCAATTCCTGAAGCTTTATTTTTTGCCATTCCCTTCAGTGCTTCTTCCTTTGATGCCATTGTTTCTTGATCATCTGCTAAATTCTGAAATGATTGAACATCGACCAATTCTTTTTGCTACAGTGGCTCTGTGTTTTCCTTCCATCTTCTTTTGATGCTTCCTGCATCATTCAGTATTTTGCCCATTGTTATCATTTTTAGGTGCCCTCGATTTGGTTCTCACTCATAGCGACCCTATATAGAGCAGAAAGAAGCACTGCCTGGTCTTATTATGCTTGAGTCCATCATTGCAGCCACTGTATCAACAGCCCAAGCCTGATTCATATGAGGCAGAGGTCAGATATGCCTCCTCTCTCTGCATCTTTACAAAATCTGACACCAGCTGTCCCTCCCACAGCACTCTCTGCTTCTCTGCTGGGTGTGAGAATTCATTGCAGTGACCACATACAACTCATAGACAATACCCACAATTATGGGGTTTCTTAGGGAAGTAACAGATTACAATTCAGGTTGAGTAATGTTCATATGCATGTGAAAGCTGGACAATGAATAAGGAAGACTAAAGAAGAATTGATAACTTGGAATTACCAAGTTGGCAAAGAATACTGAACATACCATGGACTGCTAGAAAAACACACAAATCTGTCGTGAAAGAAGTACAGACAGAATGCTCATTAGAGCACTAATCTTGATTCTCCTTCCCCCTTGTGGAGAGAGAGGAGGTCAGATGCTGCACCCATGCCATTTTTATAGGGGGAAAGCCTTGAGGCAAGACATCTGGGATTAACTCCAAACCTCAGACGCTAACCTGTCTTTCGGGTAGCAGCCCATTCACCTCTTTCTCCGCTGGGAAACCAAGAAGCAGAAGCTATAACACAAGTTGGGATGGTGCTTCCCAAAGGGGAAGCTACCCACTGGAGTTACCAGAAAAGCAGACACTGTAGTGCTGTGTTCGTTGAAAAGCAGCTAAAGAGGCGGACATAGCAGTGAAGTATAGTGATTTGGAGGTTGCTGTACAAAATTATCCTGTGTGCTCACGCCAACGCCCAAGGCGTCTCCCCACGATCCTGGGAATATACATGCGTGAACACAGCCATGGATGAACTGGTAGGTAGCTTACATCAGGTCTGTGCAGCCCAGTGAGAGAGTGAAATACACTCTTATACGTGTGGACAGTTACTGGCTTGAGACAGGCGTTCTCATGTAAAAGAATGAACCAGGCTGCTACAATAAAAGAATTACAAAAATTGAGTGTTATGTATGGAATATCCCAAAGGACTGACAGTGAGCAGAGCACACACTTTACAGGTCATTTAACAGGACATGTGCCATAGGAAAAACTGAATGTTGTACCTACATACCAGACTATCACCAGAACACAACTGATTTGTTAGGCCATATGAAGAAACAGATAGAAGTCTTGACACACCTGACGTTTGATCTGCTGTGGCTGCCTGGTTATCCTCTTCTCCCTCTGGCTGGGAAGGTTTGTTGTTGGGTCTAGGTCTTTTCTGCTGTGTTTGTCTATATTGTTAGTGTGTTCTTTCCCTCCAACTGCAGCAATACGGTCTGTCCCTAACTTGTGTAACTCCTCCTCTCAAGGCCCTCATGGACCTTGCAGAAGAGGGGGAAGATGCCAGATTGTGAAAGCTGGCCTCAAGAGGTGGGCAGAAGGGAAAACGGGCTTTCCGAGGCTGAACATGGCTGCCATCATGCTTTCTGCTAGTTCACTGACATTTGCTAAGTCATTCTAATGTAATTCTTGCTGAGGCGGCCCTATGTCAGTCTAGAGGCATCCCTGGCATGCAGCCACTATTGTGCAGCACCAATATAAAACCTCTGTCTCCCCCCAACCCACCGTGGGGCACAGAGATCTGCTTGGTCCTGCTTCCGCCCAGGACCTGACTCACATGTAAGTCTCCCTAATAAACTCCTCTGCTGCCAACCTAGAATTGCCCGTCTGTTTCTTCAGTCTCTCAGTACCCTCCATTTTTGGAGGCAAGTTTCATGTTACCAGGACAATACTATTTATACAACTTTCTAGAAAAGGCAAAGCTAATCAATGGTAGGAAAAAAATCCCAACAGTGATTGTCTGTGGGGAGCAGGAACAGGCATTGACTGGAAAGGGACAAAAGGGAACTTTCTGGAGTGCTGAGGTTTATATTTCAGTGGAGTTTGTGGTACACAAGAGTATGCATTTGACAAAACTCACCAAATGGTCCACTTTAGATCTGTATAGTGAATATTCACTGGTTGTAAATTTGATCCCCCAAAAGAACTTCAGACAAATATTGGACTCTAATTCATATTATGTATGTTGAGGTATTTAAGGGTAAAATGGATTGATATCTGCAACTTATTATCAAATAGAGAAAAATTAGTTGGTTGATGGATAGAAGGAGGAATGGAGAGATAGATAAGATATATGATGAAGCAAAAATAGCAAAACGTCAATGGTAGAATCTGGGTGATAAGCATACACGTGTTCACTGTACAGTTCTTCCAACTGTTCTGTATCAGTTTGTCTGGTGAGTCGTGTCAGCCACTCCAGAAGAGGAAATCAAAAGAAATGCACTCACTTCACCAAACTTTGACCAAATATCAAAATCCCAACACTGCTAACATTTATTGCCAGCCTTACAATTAATGGAGAAAGTGTTTTCTCCTCGGTTCCAGAGGGCTTGGTGGTTCTTGGGCATGGCCACGTATCGCAGTTTCCTGAGGAAAGGTGGTCTGCACAGCATCCTCTCATCCCACAGGTACTCAGGGGAGAGCACCTTGGTGGGCTTGTGGCACAGCAGGTACTTGTTCAGGTGGCTCTCGTCATGCCACTCAGCCTCGATGTGATTGGTGTGGTCCACCATCATCACCTGGTGACAGGCCTTGGTAAGCCTGTGCACCTGTAGCACTGAGCCCCCGAAAAAGCCGCCGGCATAGTAGAAATAACCTTCATCTCTCGGAAAGTGGGCCTGAGACAATGAGCAGTGTTCATACGTGAAGGTCTGGTGATCGGCAATGTAGAAGCCAGGGTGGAGAGTGCCAAACAAGGAGAAGAGTATCTCCACACCCAGGTGGTCGCTGAGCATCATGTCCTCATCTAAACACACCAGGTAGTCCACCTCATGCAGGAAGCACTTCTTGGAGAAGTTGCTGATCATCTCCATGCGGTGCATGGACACGCCCTGCCAGCAGGGGTAATTGCAGACCTCGAGGTTCACCACCTGCCAGCCTTCCTGGAGGAGGACGTTTGGGACGTCAGCATGCTGGTCAGTGAAGACGTAGTAGTTGACCTTGTGTCCCACCATGAAGCACTTGTCTGCAGTCTCCAGGAACACCTTCAGGAAGACTACGTATCTAAGACCAGGAAAGAGAGGGCGAGAGTTAAACAGAGTGAACAGCAGCAAAAGAAGGAGACTTAGACAAAACTGCCTCGTAAAATGGTAGCCATTCTACTCGCTACAGACGATGCGGCCCAACTGTACTGGGCATATGCAGGGACATTCAAATTTGCCTGGTGTGAACAAATATTCACAAGAACAAGATATTTCATTTATCCATAAGGTTTGCAAAACTTCAAAGAGTTGTTAATATCCAATGTTACTCCAAAGCTGTAGACCCTCCAACAGCTTTGTGTCTCTTAAGAAAAGAAAAGAAAAAAAGCCATTTGAGGCCCTACAGTGGTCTACCAGGTCCTACATAGTCGGTTCTGATGTCTTTCCCCTTCTCCTCCATCCCTCTGCTCTGGGCAGCCAACTCCTTGATGATCCGGACACACGCTACACATGCTCCAGGGCCTTTGCACTTCCTGTTCCTCCTGCTTGGAAGCCATTCCCTGCAATGCTCACCCCTACAGCTTTCATTCCTCTGCTCACAATCAGTTCACCAAGAGAAGACCTGCTGATTCAAGCCCTGGGCTACAGGTGCTCTATAACTCCCTCTGCAGGTGCTCACGCAGAAGCCTGCAGATGTGACAATTCAGCAAGTTCTCGTGCTGAGATGTGTGTATTTCCCTATGTGGAAACTATAATTTGATAAAAAAGAAAAAAGAGCAAACAGACACATACTTAAATAAATACCAACACAAGTCACTCTGTATCTCTTTATTCAGCCTTCGTTATGTTTTTAAAGCCTGTATCACCCTCTGGTGTGTTTTGTATTTGTGTTTACTTGTTCTTCTGTCTTCTTGCACTAGAATATAGCTGCACAAGAGCAGGGACTTTATGTGTTTGGTTGAATGCCTTCTCCCCATCATCTGGCACATAATAGCTGTTTAATAAATATGTTCTGAACCAGTGAATAAGTGAAAAATTCACTGCAATTGAGGATGTGGGGATGAAGGACTCTTCCGCCCTGCTAGTGGGAATGTCAATGGTTTAACCCTTTTGGAGGCCACTGTGAGAAACTCTATCTAGATCTTGAGTGTGCATATCCTTCCCCAAATCCACTTCCAGGCATATACCCCACAGGCCTACTCACACATGTGTACAAAGACCCAAGTATACAAGTTTACAGACAACTCAGGTCATCAAACGTTGGTAAGCATGTGACCAACTACAATTCCCAGGTATTGTTGGTGGGAGTGTAAAATGCTACAGTCAACTTGGAAAAAGGCCTGGCAATGTTTTTTTTTTAATAAAACTAAACACACATGTAATCTTTGACTGCACAATTCCACTCCTAAGTCTTTAACCAAGAAAAAAATGTATCACGTGCCCACACAAAAGACATGTCCAACAACACTCATAGAGGCTTTAATCATAATAGACAAAACTGGAAAAAACCCAGGTGTCCATCAAAAGGGGAATGGATAAACAACCTGTAGTATACCACCCAACGGGATACTACTCAGCAGAAAAAAAGTAAGTGCTACTGATACACGCAAAATCATGATGAATCTCAAAATAATTATGCTAAGCGAGAGAAGGATAACACAAAAGAGTACAGGCTTTATGATCCCAGTAGGTAAAAACCACCTCATGGGGGGGAAAAATCAGAAGAGTAGTTGCCGTTGATGAAGTAGGGGCAGGGGCCTACTGGGAAGGGGCATGGGGGAACTTTCTGGGGGTGATGGTGATTTCCTATGAGTTGATAGGGATTTCTGATACACAGCTGTATGCATTTATCAAAACTCAGCAAACATAGAATTAAGATATTGCTCTTCATTGTACGTTTAACTTTCAGAGAAGGAACACTGTAAACACACACTGAATTCTAGTTAATGATTTGCACATGGACATATTTAGGAGAAAGAGTGCTGTGGTCAAAGTCCCTGGGTGGTGTAGTTGTTAACACACTGCCGCTAACTGAATGATTGGAGATTTTCGAGTCCATCCAGAGGCACTTGATGTAATTTTGGAAGTAGATCATCAGGCCTTAAGAGAAGCCTGGAGATCAGCTCTCAAAAAATCAGCCCTTGAAAACGCTGTGGAGCACATTTGTGCTCTGACACACATGGGGGTCACCATGAGTAGGAATTGATGGGAGGACAACGGGTTTGGTTCTGATACCTGGCTAAGCCTCAGTTTGTCTCTTGGTTAGGGTGGGGTAGGGAGCACCCCTCATTGGCTGTGCTTAGATGAAGATCCCAGCACGCGATCGGGGACACCTAAGCGTCGTTGGCCTCACCTCCCTGCAGAGGAAGCTGCCTGGTGACTTCCGGCAGAGGCACAGCTGTTTGAGCAAGGGCCTACCTGGGGCCCTGGAGATCCCAGCACTTCCGCCTGCTGCAGGGACGCTCTGCCTCCTCCTTCCGTGGTGAGCCAGCACCTGGACCGGAAAAGGGCGGCACGAAGGAGCCTCCAGCCCACTCCGAGGGCCCTTGCTAGTTCTCCCTTTTCCTCCTCCGCCACCCGCAGACTTACCTTTTGATGGCAAACACAGTCAGCCCGATGGTGGTGTTTCTGAATGGCGTGTCCAGGATGGCAGAGTCAAAGGTCCCGTCCCAGATGATTGGGGCAAAGCAGGGAGTTGTGACCAGCACGACTGTCCACCTTCGTGGACGAAGCAGAGCGCACTAGAGCAGATAGAGAAAAGGTGGCCACAGGGAGAAAGGTTTGTACAAAGGGACTCAGAGGGCAGTAGTCCCCTTAGAGTAGACACGGACTCCAGACTCCCAGTTCAGTGCTCTCTCCACTACCAGCTCAGAGGCTGAGACCCGACAGAACCGATGACTCATCTCGCCCCTCCTGCTTCCCTGGCTCGGGCTGAGAAAGCCTGGTGCCATACTGTGGCGCGCCCCTGAGCACCAGCCCTGTGCTGGATCCCACAGTCTGTCAGGCAGGCCTGGGCTTACCTCCCGACTGGCCCCTCACCAGCTGTAGGACCTCAAGTAGGTTCCTTCACCTCTCTGAGCCTCAGTTTCCCCACCTGTAAAATGAGGAATGATCAGATGGTTACTGAGCACCCTTCCCACACTGGAGCTCTGGGTTATGGTGAGGCTGAGGGGAGCCCTAGGCACAGAGAGCTTGGCTCCTCTGAGCTCTGCTTCACTTGGTTTTCTGGGTACCATGGTGTCTTAGTCATCTAGTGCTGCTATAACAGAAATACCACAAGTGGATGGTTTTAACAAACAGAAGTTTATTTCCTTACAGTAAAGTAGGCCAGAAGTCCAAATTCAGTGTGTCAGCTCCAGGAGAAGGCTTTCTGTCTCTCAGCCTTCTGTCTCTCAGCCTTCTCATCAGTGTTCCCCCAGACTAGGAGCTTCTCCGCCCAGGGACCCAGGTCCAAAGGATGCGCTCGGTTCCCGGCACTGCTTTCTTGATGGTATGAGGTCCCCCTGTCTCACTGCTCACTTCTGTCTTTTATATCTCAAGAGATTGCCTCAGGACACAATCCAGTCTCATAGATCAGGTCCTGCCTT